GCTCTACGTGAAACATCACGGCCAACAAACCAGACCCCGGACGCGGACGCCAAAGTGTCAGCCAGCACGCCGATAAGAGTCTACTCTCAAAGAGTGTTTACACAGCCCGGGCCTGCAGCAGGTCCGAGACCAAGTTACATCGAATACGAAATGCCTAGTGAAGCATGTTGTCATGATACATCAAAGTCCCTTTCTCATCCAGTGAATCGCCCAGCGAGACGCCGTTTTTGTCATGCACGTGTACATGAAGACCCTCCCCCCTAATCTTAATGCGCAGTACGGGGTAAGTCTGTGTTCAGACCCCGAAATCATGTCCTTTCATATCCCGTATCCTTTCTCATATCCCGTTGTCTCATAAACCGTTCACCATGTCTTCAAGAGAGAAAAAACAAGTAAAGCCAATGTCCGTCTAGATGTTTACCCCTGGACGCCCGCAGCATCATTGCCCTTCTCAGCGTACAAGCCGAGCAAGCCCCCCTGTCTACGCATCCCCGTTGCCAATGCAAAGTCCCCGAAAAAAAGAAAGGACACTCGAGAATAAGAAGAAAAAAATAAGAATGGCCAATGGGTGTGTCGCACCACACCGGATACGGATCACATGAGGATCCTTCACAGCACGATGGGATTGTGGGGGTTGGTCCCTTGGTCGGCCGTAAGCTCCAAGAACTTTGAGCACGGCGGAAGTCTCACACGCGATTGATGCGAGCTGGCAGGCCACGAGCGAATCGAGTCGTAAAAGACGAGTCGCGCGGGTGTTGATGCAGCGGCGAGACGTCGCAGGTTTTGCCGGCAGGGGTTGGACTTAAGCAGCGCGATGCGGGGCGGAGAAAGACTCAATCTCCGGACAGGCTCGGAGTTCTGGCGCCTGCGCCGGATGGGGCCGGCTGAAAATGACAGCGGCGACTTGCCCCGCTCCCGCATAAACTGAATGCGTGCGGGCGGGTGAGGATCCGTCGGTGTGCAGGGCGGCGGGGAGGCGGACGACACAGAGTTATGGTCTCCTACTGCCTCACGGTTGTCGGTCTCCGAAAGACGCAAAGAGACGGTGCGGCACTCGAGTGATTGGCTGTTCTGAAAGTGTCCCCGCGATCCGAGAGGCTCGTCCATATCTCTTCTGAACTGGGACGTAGCTGCTCTTGTCTGCATGCGCCGCCTTCGCCCACACTCGGAGTTGAGCGAGTTCATGAGCTTTTGAAGCACTGCCCATGGAAAAATGACGGTACCAGCCTCCCAGGCTCTGCCAGCGGAGAGCTCTGCGGCAAAAAAGCTTGTCCACGCGCGCGCGTTGGAGCAAGGGTGGCCGAGGACCATGCTCTCCGGGGTGTTGCGCATGCGAAGCATCAAGTCGGCCCGCTCCCGTCTTGAGAAAGGGACAAAGGGTTGAGATGGTGCGTTGACCATGTGTTGAAGAAGGGACAGGGCCTCGGATGCCTTGAAAAACTCGGCATACTGGCCGCCTAAGGGAAGGTATGTCTGGCGATAGCACGTAATAGAAGGTTCCATCCGGTTTGGGGAACCGCCGGACGTCAAGCAGAGAGTGACGGCTCTGTTGTCTCGCGTAAGATTGACAGTGTAGTTGTGATGCGGAGAGGCGGGTTCTTGAGAAGAGGCTCGGTGAAGGTTCTCTTCAGCCTGCGGCATCAGGGCAGCATGCGAGTGCCGCTTGTAGTCGCAGTCTGCCGTTTCCGAGCCGGCTCGATCGGAGCGAAAGCTCTGCAGGTTGCATCCGTCGGAGTACGACCGGAGGTGGGCAGGGCCGTGCCGTGCCGGCGTCAAAGGCTGCACATGCGGGTCAGACGTGAAGGACGGATCGAATTTGGTTGGCGGTGTCTCGGGTCCGAAAGACGACGTCCTTGTCCTCACCTCCGATGGCGTATCGTGGCGAAGTTCAGGCGTGCGGTCTGCGGACAGCTGGGTAATGTCTGGGGAGTATCCAGTCTCGTCAGGCGTGCCGTGTGTTGACTTGGCGTATCCCGTTGGAGGGCGGAAACCGAAGTACGAGTTGAGTTTACTGACTGTGTGGGCCGTTGATTCGTCTATGTCCCATGGAGATGCTGGAGAGCGAGCCACAGTGGGCCACTTGGCGAGGGAAACTTGTCCCTCGATATTCCTTCGCGGCATAGAGCGGTACATGGAGGACATGCTGAAGGACAAAAACAAAAACGTAAACAAGAAGAGTTTCGGAAGCAGAGAACCCGTGAGAAAAGAGCCAACATGGGCCGCACACTTGCCGGCGGACTGGTCATATATACGGAAAATGCTCTCCATCGAAGACCAGCCAAACGATCGGTCCAAAGGGGGAGCGGTCAGCCAACTGGAGCACCCCGAGACATGGTGTCTTGTGTCCTCCCCGCAGCAGCCAATCCCTCAGCAGCCAACATACCAAGGGCCTTATTTTTCTTCTTCTTTCGCATCCAACGCACGACACTTTGGAGGAGGAGTTGGTAGGGCTATCCTCGTCGATGGTATGCGCTGAGGTAAATGGCCCCCGCCTGACCGGGCACTTGGGAGACACAACACCATCTCGTGTGTTAGTGTGCGCAAGTGTCTTCCGCAGCCTCGATGGCCCTTGTCGCCTCCCTGCATGCCTCCCGAGAGATCGACCTTGTGCTTATGCAAAAAGCAAGGTGACGACCAATCAAGGAGCCCGGCAACCACTCCCGCGTGCTGCTGGCCGGTTCAGAGCCTCGTGTCAACCGGCCGAAATTGTGGCATTGCCGATTGACTGCATGCGTCGCTGCCCGAGGGAGGATGACGGCAAAAGCAAAGTTGGTCTCGAGGGCCTGTGAGTGGCCGGGTGTTGGCCCTCCTCCAGGCCCTTCACACCCCCATTAGCGGGCTGCAGGCGCGGAACTGCACGATATATCATATTTGGACCATGCGTGGCGGCACGAAACAAGCCAAGTCCATCCGAACAGGGAGAGCGGGGCAACAAGACCAAGATGCGATGATGCGTTGGGTGCATATGACGGCTGCGTTGTTCGTCTGACATTCGCCTGGAGATTTGTTCGCTTGCGCTGAATTCTCGGTTAGGGAGTCCCGAAAAGCGAGGAATGGAGTCTCGGGAGTCTGACGTTTGAAAAAATGAAAAAAGCGTCGGCGGCGGGATCCGTAGTCTGCTCACCGCTGGATGAGAGACGGGAACATGGCGTGAGCGTCTGGAAAGAAGCAAGGCGAGGAAAAGCAAAGATGGTCGTCCGAGCGCCAGGGTATGAGACCCTCAGAGACAGGACGAGACAATGGCATCGCGCGAATCAGAGATGTGCTAAATTAATAACCGCAGGGAGCGTGGTATATAGCAGTGGCCGTCTCTGCAGGCCAGTCACATTGGAGCTTTGAGTGTTTGGCGACGTGACGGGCGGCGTTTGTTGACGCGGTGGAGGGCGGGCTGCCATGTGTTACACAGATTGATTGCGGTGGATTCCTGGAAGCCGCGGTCAGCCGTGACAGAGTCAGACAGGTTGCCAAAGGGTGTTAAATGGCGACGAGACAGGAAATACAACGACAGGGGACGGGAGCAGGAGTGATAGGTTGCAGCGGAACAGCGGAGGGCAGCGGCCGGAGACGGGGACGGAGGGACGCAAAGTGCCGGCTGCGACAAGACGCAGTGCAACGCAAGGCGCGAAGAAGAAGCGACAGAGACAGGAGGGATGGTACGGATACTGCGTGGCAGAGGTGATGGCAGATGTGATGCGACCTGGAGGACCGTGGTTGTTTGCTTTTGAGTGAGTTGCGTTGCAGCTGAAAAGCTCCGAGATGATGTTTTGGTGTGGGAGGGCGAGAAGCAAGACCTGGGAATACTCCGTAGTGCGAGGGTGGGTGGTACGGTGGGAAGAGACCTGACGGGACCCGAGAGCTGTGAGTGTGTGTGGAGGACGCGGCAAGCGACGTGATGGAGGTGGTGGTGAGGCGGTCCAGGGGCAGCGTCGTGGTGCATGTGTTGGTGTGCCTGTCTGTCCCGTCGCTTGTCGTGTGTGCAGTGTGCAGCGTGATGGGAGGTGGAAGTGGAAGAAAAGAGTGGTTCACCTCGTGTGGCTGAATTGGCAGCAAGGTCGCAGCGTTTGCGAGAGCCCCGCCACAAATGTTTCTCTCGTACGGTTACAGAAGGCGCTAGCCACTTGCACCTGCAGCGTAACACTTGGACACCTTCCAGGAAGGACCAGGTGCATTCCTCCCATGAGGCACCTGCCCGTGAAGTCGCACTTTCCACTTTCCTCTCTCCAACTGGACCTCATGGTGGTTTCCCATCAGTTCATGGCAGGTGGGGGCCGGTGAGCAAAAGTCCCCGATGAACTCCACTTGCATTCGACCTACACTAGGTACACTGTACCTGCTGCTGCTGTTGCTGTTGCTGTTGCTGTTGCTGTCGTTGTCGTTGTTGCCGCTGCCAATGCTGACAGCTGTGACGGTGGGTTGCAACCACCTTCGCACCTTCCATCCGATGTCATTGGATCTTGCCCAAGGTTATGACTGGTCTCTTGTCAAAAAGTGGTCAACTGCGCCCTTGACATTGACATGAACGACATCGACGACATGAGCGACGGGGCCCTTTGCCCCCTGATGGAAGCCATGCGCCTTCCTCATTGGACAATCGAGCGGCTGCCTGGAAGTCAATCCTTGGTGTACCTGCCTAAGCCTTGCGAACCAACATCAGCCCAGAGAAACGCCTTGCCTGTGCGGAGAAGCACGTCGAGCATAACAGAACCTCCATCGTTTGACTCATTGCCGGCCAGACGTATGAGTATTACTCTCTGCACTTTGGCGAAATCATCGAACCAGCTTATAAGACTATCGACTCGCCTCGAGTGATCAACACCAACACCATTGGCATCGGCATAAACATAAGCATAAGCATAAGCATTGGCAAGGTCATCAGCTAATACTACAAATCCATTATCAAAAAAAGCACATTGAATCATCCACATTACACGCAACGTCGCAAAGAACATCGGAACCCGAGACTTCGCACCAGAACCCGAAGGACAGCAAAGACGACAATAATGGCCGCCGCTGCTACTGTCCAACTGACAACGCCGTCCATCATCGGTGCCAATCAGCCCTATGGCATGTCACCAGCCACCAGCATGGGTGACACGGACAATATCACCGTCGCCGACATGGAAGAGGCAATCCGGCTCGCTCCCCTCTGCCGCGAGGCATTAAACCTGCTAGACGCAGAGATGCCCCGCTTCAACCACTCATATGCCTTCACCGCAGACGAGATTCTGGCCCTTCCTCTTGACACAGTTCGCATCCCCGACGAGTTGCACGGCTTGCCCCGCCGGAAATCTACGCGATCTTCCCTCGCATCTGCCATTGCGACTCTGCTGTATCCCGCCACCCACGAGAAAGCTCTGGCTTCCGTGATCCGGTACGACGCTGCTCGTGTGAGACTGCGCGCGTGGGTCGCACTGCAGCGGAAGTACGACATATTTGCCGCCACCAAACGGAACGGCCACAGCTTCCGCGGCTTGACTGGCGGAGCGGCTCCCGGTGTGCATGCCCCATTCTGGTCATCCCGGATCCTTGCTCAGGGCCCGTGGGACCCGTCAAAACTTCCCGTCTCGACCGCTGGCCCTAGGGCCATTCCGATGCCCGTCGCCGTTGCTGACGCCGCCGACCTGGCACCCTTCTTCGACCACCTCGAGCTCGGCGGCACCCACGAGCTCGACGAAAACTCTGCTGGAGCTGACCTCGATAATGGCAAGGGAGAGCCATACTACGGCGTCAAGGGCGCCGAGTTCCGCAAAGGAGTCGTCTACGAGGATGGTCGCATGGACCTCTGCAAAATGGTTGTTGGCCCAGACCACATCGGCAGCCTGATGGACAGCTTACGGCCGAACCCCTTCGTCCGACATTTCCTGCTGGGGAACAACATCATTGGCCCGGTTGGCGCTCAGGAGATTGCCCGCTTCATCAAAGACTTGCCTGATCGCATGGACACTTGGTATCTCGCTGGCAATTGCATCGACGCCCCCAGCTTCAAGATCCTCGTCGATGCCATGGTCACGTCCGACGCCGTCACAAACATTTGGCTGAAACGCAACCCGCTGGGCGCTGCGGCCGCTGCAGATGTCTATCGACTCATCACCCAGACGAAAAACCTTCGCACGCTGGACCTTGACCAAACGGAACTCGGGGATGCCGGTCTCGCAGAGTTGTTCACTCGTCTGGCCATGTACTCCGATCCCTCCGGCCGTAAGCTGCCCCTGCGACATCTTTACTTGAACGGCACCGGTATGTCGACAACGGCTGCCGCAAGGCTTGCATCTTTCTTGGCCTCTCCAGCCTGCGGTGTCACCTCGCTTTACCTGTCCTGCAACCCACTCGGCGACGCAGGCGTGCAAGCACTGGCCGAGGGCGTTCGTCAGGCTCCTCAACTGACTCGCTTGTCACTTCAATCAACCGGTCTGCACACGGCGGGTGCCATTGCCATCTGCAATGTCGTCGCATCGCATCCTAGGATTCGCTTCCTTGACGTTGGTCAGGCATATGCGACCTTGGACCTCGGCCAAGCTTGGAACTACATCGAGGACGCTGTCGCACCCTCCATCATTGAGCTCTTGTCGACGAACCAGGTCATCGAATACCTGAACCTCGGCCATTGCCCGATCACACCGCCGGTCCTACGGGAGATCGATGCGGCTGTCTTGAAGTCTTTGCTGCTGTACTACGATGCCGAGTCTATCCTGCCAGACACGACGATCAAGGAGCCTAGATTCAATCCGTCAGCCGATCGGACAATGCCCAACCTGCACTCTTTGGGGGCACTTACCAAGGATCAAAAAGCCGTCGAGAAGGCAGTCGATGACCATCTCGAGGCCAATGTGAAAGCCAAGTATGGCAGCGATATGACTTACTCCCGCTTCATGGATGAGGAGAGGCGGTGGATCGTGAACGATAAAGCCGATGTGCGGAAAATTGACTCGGTGTACCGCAATCGCGATGCCGGTTACGCGCGCCGGCGGCTCAAGGCATTGGTGAAGGACTGGGACGAGAACGACGACACTCTGGACCGAGTGATGAACGCGCAGGGTCCATTTTGCACCCGTTGGAAAAATTCAATGGGGACCGTGGATGCTGCATAGCAAAAAGCCATTAGCGAGATGGTTGAGGAGAAGTTGTGATGCAGTCGGGCGACATGGGCCCGCCTCGGAAGCAAGGTCGCATTGACGGAATGACCTTGCGCACGGATGACGCTCGAATCATAGGTTGCGAAAAATGCCCTTCCTCCACCAACAACTCAATTGGTTCAGGTCTATTAGTCTAGTTGGTTAGGACGTCGGATTCTGATCGCATCAGTCTCTTCCGTAGGCCCAGGTTCGAATCCTGGATGGACCTAATACTTTTGCTGTTGGCGGTGTTTGAGCTCAGCGTGGCTCTTTTTTAGAAGTGAATTGACTTTTACTCTTCAAAGTCAGTTTTGACGGCTCGTGGAATGCATGTAACGAGGGCTTCGGAGAATTGCCTATCGGCGAGGAGGCTTGTAAGCAGACGAAACCCTGCACCTGACTTACATAAGCGCCAACGTCATCGCTTGGGACACGACCCTGAGAGACATCCGTCAACAATCAACAGATCGCCCAGAGAAGCACCAATCGCGCGTCGCAGGTCGTTCCAATTCCAGCGCCGGCCGCCTGTGACTCGATCGCATTCCAATTACCCAGTGAAACCACATTCTCAACCATCATTCCCTTTCTCACATTCTTCACACTGCGAGACCTGTCTCTGGCCATCGCCCACGCGCGTGCTCCGATACCACACCCACGTCGGGTCCCGAATACGCCGTTTCTCCATCACTCGCACCCCTGCAAGGTCACTCCCGCGCCCACGATACCGCAAAGTCTAATTGATCAACCACCCGGAATTTTTACCCATCTCACTCCATTACCGGGCCGATCGCTTTTTTTTATTGTGCCAAAAAAGAAACGAGGAAAAAAAAAAAAGGGTAAAGCACGCATGCCCCGAGCATGGCGCCGCTGAAGCGCAAGCGACCCCACGAAGACCCGGATCCTCCGCCCCCCACCTCCTCCACCACGACCACCGCAGCCGCCGCTCCCACTCCGACCGCTGCCGCCGTCGCCGGCGCAGCCGACTCGACGCGTCGCGCAACGCGTCAAACTCCGATCCTACCCCCTCCGATCCCGACCTCGCAGTCCCAGGCCGCCGCCGCCGAGGACAAACGCCGTCGCTCCTCAGCCTCGACGAACCCCAGGCCGCAGCTGCACAAGATCTCCGAGACGCCCATCCCGATCCCGGTGCCGCCCTCATCATCGTCGTCGACAGCGCAGTCTGCAGGCCAGAATCCTCCAGCTGCTGCAGCTGCCGCCGCCGCCGCACCCGAACCCCGCGCGAGCCGACGAAAAAGCGGCACGGCCGCTGATACCACCGCCGCGATGGGCGCCGCCGTCAAGGAGGCTAAGGAGAACGTCCGGCCAGTGACGCTCGTCGCGCCCAAGATCACGTACCAGGCCTCGCAGCCCACGCCGCACCGCACGGGGGGCAGCCTCGTGCGGCCCAGCCCGCCTACGAGCCAGCCGCCGATAACATCGCACTTTCGTCCCGTGGCCAGGCAGCCGTACCAGCATGGCATACCAGTGACGGTAACTCATGTTCCTGTGCCGGTGCCGCCGACTTCGACGCCGAAGCAGCAACAGCAGCAACAGCAGCAACAGCAGCAGCAGCAGCAGCAGCAAGCGCCGCCGCCGGAAAAGCATACGCCGGCCCCTCCGAAGCCTACACCTTCGAAACCACAACCGCAGACGCACACGCAAACGCATACGAAACCGCAAACGCAAACTACGCAGGCACAAACATCCACGCCCCGGGCGGTGGACAAATCCGCCCCCCGGACGGACCGCAACATCGACAAGGTCATCCTTGGCAACATCTGCTTCCGCGCGTGGTATCCCTCTTACTACGGCAAAGAGGTCCTCGGCGACGCCTCCGTCAGCGGCAAGTCCGGCGCCGCCACCGCCGGCACGACATCAGGGAAAAACCCGCCGGCCGCAGGAGCGGGGGACGGCGCGAAGAACCAGCACCGCAAGGGCGCCGACGCGCCCATCCTCGATAGGCTGTACGTGTGCCCCGTCTGCTTCAAGTACTCCAAGGAGCTCGTCGCGTGGTGGGGCCACGTGCGGATGTGCGAGCGGGCGGGGGCGGTGCCCGGCCGCAAGGTGTACACGCATCCGCGCGGGCGGCGGCTGGTGCGCAAGGAGATGCCGCGGCAGGGCGGGAAGAAGGGGAACGTGGCGGCGAGGTTTACGGAGGAGGTTGTCACGGACGAGGGGGAGTGGAGTGTGTGGGAGGTTGATGGGGAACAGGATGTTGTGAGTTCTATCCTTTTCGTTCCCCCTTACTGGAATGCCATGCTAACTTTGCTGGGAAACAGCTCTTTTGCCAGAACCTATCGCTATTCGCAAAGTTGTTCCTCGATAACAAGTCCGTCTTCTTTGACGTGCGCGGCTTCAACTACTTCCTACTCGTCTACACACCCTCTCCTCCTCCCAAACCCGACCCAGCCGCCGCCGCGGACCAGCAACAACAGCAACCCCCGCGCCCGCACATTGTCGGCTTTTTCTCCAAAGAGAAAATGTCATGGGACAACAACAACCTGGCCTGCATCCTCGTCTTCCCGCCGTGGCAGCGCAAAGGGCTCGGCGCGCTGCTGATGGGCGTCTCGTACGAGATCTCGCGGCGCGAGGGCGTGCTCGGCGGGCCGGAGAAGCCCATCTCGGAGCTCGGCCGGAAGGGGTACAAGCGCTTCTGGGGCGGGGAGATAGCCCGGTGGCTGCTCGGCTGCGGGACGAACGAGACCAACAACGGAGAAGTGGAGAGGGAGCTGCTGGTCGATGTCGAGGACTGCTGCAAGGCGACGTGGATTGCGCTGGAGGACTGCCTGGTCACGCTTAGGGAGATGGGGGTCGTTGTGGAGGGGGGCACGGGGCCGGGGAAGCCGCCTGCGAAGCGGAAGAGGCAGGGGCCGGACGGGGAGGAGGGCGAGGACGAGGATGTGGAGATGGAGGATGCCGGGGAGGAGGAGGCGGAGAAGCCTGATGTTCCGAGGGTGAGGGTTGACAAGGAGGCTGTCTGGGCGTGGGTGCAGGCGAATAAGATTAGTCTTGAAAAGGTATGCGATCCGGACGGGTTCGTGGAGGGGTATGCGATTAAGGAGGTTGAGGAGGATGACGATGAGGAGTAAAAGTTGGGTGGTGCTCTCTTGTTAGGTTTGGCGCTGTTATTTGAGTTATGATATCCCCGTGATTGCCGTCACCCGAGTTCTAAGGCCGTATTCGCATTCAGTAGCTGAGGGGTAATGATACTGCGTTACGGGGAATGGGGAACAACGCAAAAGCTGTCGCGGTCCAAATAACTGCGTGCAAATGCGTCGAGGTTTTGCGAGAGCTTCAGCTCTAAGGATGGCGACGATGACATCCAGCCTTCTCAATGTATCATCCATCTGAATCTGTTCTCTACGGATGGCCTCATCGTGAGGTTTGAGCCTTCAAATTGGTAACGTATGAGCGTCAACATTTGGGACCTAGCCCTGTCGGGGTTTGTCCGTACTGCATGAAATGTGTATTTCAGAGTTCCAGTCCAGACCTGTCAGGCCGGCTTGTTCGGATGGGACGAAGAACGGTAAGATGCTATTGTGTAGTTCCAGTTTCACATGTAGAGAAAAATAACCTTGTTCTTGTTGACTGGTTCGGCTTGTGCGCGCACCTGCACTCGGACCCGTAGCTAATTTCTAATCGCTCTGGAGAGAACTTTGCTTCTAAAGAGTTAAATTCATCTAAAAAGCCGTTTGGTCTCTGAAGTCTTTTTGTCATGGCCTACCTGAAGAGGCAACTGACTGCGAGCTTCGGCTGTGCCGGCATTTGACCCCCAAGCAACCGTCTAAAAAGGCCATGACCTCAGGTGAAGATATTAAATGTCCAATGAGTCAAGGCCACAACGGGAATTAAGCACCGAACGCACGAATGCCAAATATTCAGTAGGACTTCATTACGGACACCAACACCCTCAACATGACTGAAATCCACCACTCTACCGCTGTTCCAGGCGCCAATGGCACCACAAGGAACATCTCCAACGTCTACAGTAGAGTCGATCACTCCTCGACAAACAAAGGCCATTCTGAAGCAAAACCCCTCGTCTCCTCCTGGCTTCCCACCTTCCACGACACCCTCTCCCCGCTCATGCGCTGGACAGGCCACTACCCAGCCAAGCTGCAAGACTACTATCTCAACTTCGCGCGCGACTCCGTAGTCCCCCGCCTCAACCCGCCTCGCCCGGCCGACTGGCCCAAATACATCGGCACGCACGACCATGCGCCATACGAAATCAGCATCGCCTTTGCACCTCGCAAAAAGGCCAAAGTGCGGTTTTCGGTGCAGCCGCTGGTGGACAGCCCTCAGGATGATGACCCCCTCGGCCAGAACGAGCTGCGCAAGAAGCTCGATGATATGGCGATTGCATGCCACGCGGACCGGAAGCGCCAGGACGCATTTCTCGATGCAGTCTTCCTCACTGATGAGGAACAGGCCGGTCTGATTGAGAAGAGCGGCGCGGCGGGTGCGCTGCCGCAGCAAAACGTTTTTTGCGCGTTTGATCTCGAGCCCGCCGACGAGAACGGAAGCCCGACGATTCACATGAAGACGTATCTTTTCCCGCAGCTCAAAGCTCTCGCAACAGGCCGGGATCTCATGGACATCACAGAGTCAGTCCTGATACGTCTTGCTGACGGCGACAAGGCGCTGCTGGATGCCTGGGACATGCTCAAGACGTTCCTCACCACCGACGGCAAGGATAACCTCATCCACTTCTTCGCAATCGACGCCGTGGCGCCGCATATGAAGCCTCGCTTCAAGGTCTACACCCACACGCACGTTAACTCGCTCGCCTCAGCCCAGCACGTCATGACGATGGGCGGCCGCCTCCCTACCCCCAAGTTTCTGAACATTGTCTGGCCCCTGCTCATGGATATGGAAGACGTCCCCCTGGCTGAGAGGGACGGGCTGCAGAAGCCACTCGCCGAGCCGGATAGCAAGTACTGCGGGCTCAATCCCACCTTCGAGCTGGTGCCGGG